TGGTCTCACCCAAGATGGCAGCTCCTGGAGCAGCTGAGCGTCTCGAATTAGAAAGCAATGGATTTTTTGCTTCTGCCACAAATTCCCCCAGCTGTAAGCCTTCCAACCTTCTAAATATTCCTTTATATGTGGTTCAGAGTTATGGGACCATCCCCTGAGCCTGCTTGGTCGGGTATTCTGTTTTGTTGCTGGCAGAGCTCCTTACTGCACTTCCACCTGATCTGCCATCTTGTTTGTTCTTTTGAAACATTATTTTTGATGATGAATGCAACACTGTTCCTTTTTAACTTCTCATTCCTGGCATGGTAAACCATTCCTAGATTGTCTGATTCTACCAGTCCATTTCATCTCACTAATGCCTAGGATACCTATTTTTAATACATTCTGTTTCATTTTTTAATGACTTCCAATTTTCCTAGATTCATACGTCATACATTCCGCATTCTGATTATGAATGGTTGTTTAAAGTTATTCCTTCTCATTTTGAGTTGTGCCCCACCAGCAAATGAAAGTCCTGAATGCTTTTCTCCATTCACATTATTAAGGTAGTCTCTGCTTTGAAGAGGCAGTCATATTTTGGGTGCCATCCAACCTGAGGATCTCATCTTCTGGTACTATACCAGGTAACATTTTGCTGCTATTCGTAAGGCCTCCAGTGACTAATCCCTCATAGTGGACTACCTATTTCTTCTTTCTAGTCTGTTCTTAGTCTGGAAGGCCCATTGAAACTTGTCCACCATGGGTGATTCTGCTAGTATTTGAAACACTAGTGCCTAGTTTCCAGTATGACAGCAACATGCAGGCCAGCACAGGCTGTAGAATGGGTCTAATCATAACTATGTGGACTTGTCCTGGTGGTGCAATATATTAGGCGTTGGGCTGCTAACCGTAAGGTTGGTGGTTCGAACCCACCAGCCACTCCTTGGGAAAAAGATGAAGCAGTCTGCTTCTGTAAAGATTTATCGTCTCAGAAACCTGGTGGATCAGCTCTGCTCTTGTTCTATAGTGTTGCTATAAATTGGAATCAAATTGGTGACAGTGGGTAGAAAGGAAGGCACCTATTTTTATGGTT